TGCCAGGGCACGTCTGAAGAGTTTAAAGATCCGATTCTTGTATCCTGCCAGGGTGTATCTGTTGACGACTAACATTACCAGACTCGATTCCTGTATCCTGCCAGGGCACGTCTGAAGAGTTTGAAGATCTGATTCCTGTATCCTGCCAGGGTGTATCTATTGACGACTATATTCTCCGGACTCGATTCCTGTATCTCGCCAGGGCACGTCTGAAGAGTTTAAAGATTCGATTCCTGTATCCAGCCAGGGCACATCTACATAAAGAGTTTGAAGATCAACTCCTGTAACAGGCCATGTAATTATTTTCTTTCTCAGGTACGCAAGTTCTCGCTAAGGAATCCCTTACGCGATCGACACCTAGATGGCATCTATAAGCCCATCCACATACCGACAGTCTCCAAATGGCATTCATAAGCCCATTCCCGACAAGGTCCTGTCACACTTTCAGATGGCATCTATAAGTCCATCCTCCTATCCCTCATCAGTCTCCAAATGGCATCTATAAGCCCATTCCCGCTATCACACTGCTGATACTCTACTATGTGAGTGCAAATTTTTGGGCACTCTAGTGTTCAATCATCTTCCACCTTCGGATTACGAAAGGCACGCCAGCCAATCTACATCCTCAGGTCTAAGAAGATTGAACAGGGGCAACTGTTGTACCCCAAAATTTTCCCTCCCATATTCTTCAAGATTTTCCAAGATCATGGTTCAAAATCTCTCAAGGGTTGCACAGTCCAATTGCCTCCTAACACAGTCAAAATTAGGGTTTTGGTTCTGGCAAAGAAATTGAAGTTTTCAAGGGTCCAATCAAGTCCCACATGCCTATAAACATTGTCAAGGATCCATATGCCAAGTTTCAAGACTCACAACATCAAGTTGCACAGTAAAAAAACCCTAAATGCTCCACAGTCAACTGCAGGGGCAAAATGGTCATTTGACAGTCAAAAGTCAAAATTTTTGGTCAACATCTTATTTTGAAGCCACAAACATCATTTTATCAATTCTTGATCATGATTCTCAAAGCATGGCTCAAAAGGTCTCAAGATGCAAAAATTTCTATTTTTGGACAGTTGAAAAAGTCAACTGCAAATTGACCAGGGCATAACTTCTTCATGGTTTATCAGAAAAATCCCATCCAATGCTCATTTTGAAGAGAATGACATTTCCTACAACTCATCTTCACACTTCAAGTCCAAGAAATGCTCTCACAAAAAGTTATCAATTTCAACATTATAGGTCATTTTCAAAAGTCAACAAAAAGGCACTTTGAGTCAAAGACCATAACTTGAGATTGGTAAATCAAAATGACATGGGACCAAAGACATTGGTTATAGGACTTCAAGACCTTTCCAAAATGTCCAAGAACATGTTCATAGCTTCAAAATTGAGCAAGATATGCCTTGTAGAAGTTGGGAAATTTTTGGGAATTTTGAAAAGTCAACTTTGCACAAAAGGCTTCAAAAATGCTAATGGGCCTCAATTTCTTTCATGAATCATTACCCAAAGGCTATGCACGACCCATTGACCTCAAAGGGATGTATTTTCTTATTTTTGATTAATTATTTGAATTTTTATTATTATTAATTCACTTAATTAAATTTAAATATGAAAAAAATATCAAATAACACTTATCAAATCTTTTTGTGCAACAAGTTCACTCATTATGAGCTAAATATCTCGTGCATCAATCAACAAGGACAAAATCATCCAAATTTGGCATAATTGGCATGGAAAAAGATTGGAAATGATATGAACAAAATCAAATATTGGAATCATCAATACATGGACTTTGGGCTTGGTTTTTTACCTAATTCCATTCACTTACATAGGCATAACCTAAACCTATTTTCAGAGCTCCAAATTTAGGGGTTTTCACATATGGCAAAATTGAACCACCAAACCTATGCCATTGGATTCGTGACATGAAGACGAAGCTAACCATGACCTCGCGCCCTTTTTATATTTGGCCATGTCCTATTCGCTATTTTTGCAGGTCTTGTTTAGTGGGGGTTTAAACCCCCCGCTATTTATTCATGTTACAGGCAAAAAGATGAAGAAGACGCTGAGGTGTCCAGATACGGTTGGGGTATTCAAATACTGGCGCGTATTTTCTTGCGTACACCACTAACTAATGTTTTTGCATATTATGTTTCTTAGCTACCCAAATAACAAATATACGCGCTGGCTCGATTGGTGGATGAGGTGGCTTGCAGGTACTGGGACCTGGGTTCGATTCCCAGGTCCCCTCTCATATTTCATATTTTTCTTCCCAACATGTTTCCATGCAGTGCACGTCCTAGGGCTCATCATACATCCTCAAACACTAGCTTGCCACATAATCTGCATGATCAATCCAAAGGCTAGAACGTGGAGACTACCATACACGCTAGTCAACCACTCCACATGCAAGCACAAAAAGTCAAACAGGGCCTTGATTCAATGGGCCAAATTCCTCAAATCATACCTCCCTTTGGGTCTGAATACCCCCAGGGTTTGCACATTTTATTTTTATTTGATTTTCTTTCTTAATTCTTTTAGTTGTTTTTAATTATTTTCTTTAATTTACCAAAAATAATTTTCACAATAAAAAAATCAGAAACAAAAATTGTAATATATTTAATAATATTTAATTCACCATTAATTTATTTTGTAAATAAACTTTAAATAATAAATTTAGTTAATTTAGGTTTTCAATTTTAATACTTTTTCTTAAATAAATAAAATATGTAGAAATTAGGGTTTCTAACCTTTTTTTTAATCTTTTTCAATAAATAATTTTCTTACTATTAATTATCAAATAATTTTGTAAATAAACATATAAATAATTAATTAGCATAAATTAGGTTTTAAACTTTAACCTTTTCTTTAATAATTAAAAATAACTTAGAATTAGGGTTTCTTTTAATTTTAATTTTAATTTTTTTTATTTTCATCAAATACCAAAAACCTAAAAAAAACTTCTTTCCTTTTATTAAATAATAACTAGACTTTTAATTCAATTTAATTTCAAAAGGGTCCAACGCCCTCGAACGTTCAACTTTAATTCTTTCGCGCATTTATTCTTATTTTCTTTTCGAATATTATGTAATTGTCCAAGCCATGTAATAGTAACTAGGTTTTACTTTCCGCATTTTATTCAAAACGGGTCTTTGTTAATTTGGCGATGTATAGACCCGCGCCTTGTAATAGCGTAGGATTTTCTCTTTCCGCATTTAAATTTCCGCACTTTTAAATTCTAATTGCATGAAAGAATGTATGGCCTAAATTAAAAACAATGCGTAGCTCACCAAATGCATGATCAAAGACAAATATTAACATGAAAATAACACACAAATTCACACACCACTCTTAGGGTACGCCTCACGGTTGCCTTGCCTTCGAAATGTGGTCGTCGAGTATAAGACGTTTTAGTAAGTCCTTATGTCCATGCTCCATGGCATAAGGGTAGCTTCTAAGGTGTCCTACTGTTGCTCTGGTGACCACACTGTCCCTAAACTCGAATTGACCCGAACACCTCCAACAGTGGCGCTACCTACCTCTCAATGGTGGGATGGCACTACCTTAAGGACATTTACACAGTCTAATTCCTTAGGGTAGGTAGATGACTCATAGATACTTGCTCTATTTCAAAAACAAATCAAAAACCTTTTCACACTGACACTTTCTAAAAGATTTCAAAACAAACGTTTCACAACACTCTTGAGGACTGATACAAGAGTCGAATTGAAGTTTTCAACGAAACTTTTTCAAACCCACTCACAATTGAAAAGCAAACAAACATTTTGGAAACATAAGAGCAAGTACCTAAGAGCTCATGGATAACCATGGATAGAAAGGGTGCTAACACCTTCCCTTTCTATAAATCTACCTCCCGAACCGAGAACTATTCTCATAAGGAATTTTGCTGTGCTTTTGTCCTGTCCATGTTGGAGAAAATAAAAGACGGTGGCGACTCTTGCTTCCGCGACATTTCGCGAACCAGCTTTAAACAGTCAGTTCCAGATCCACTGATCACACAATTGTTAAAACAATTTCATCTGACCCATGCATCATCAACATTACATTGCTGTCTGTTTTGACTTCCTCCAACCACACATTAGGTCTTCCAATCGCATGTGAGATTGTTGTTCGTCTTCGCTGGATCCTTCGAATTCCCCCCCTCCACAATGTCTCCATCTAGCCATCACATCAACTCCCGCTTCAGACGCTCCATGGAGTGAATGTGCTAGAATTTCATTCTCATCGTAGGTTTCGTGGCGGAGAAGATAACGTAACCATTTCTGGTAAAAATCATGGACGATGTCATGACACAAATAACAGAGTAAAAAATAAGAAAACAATGCGAGAAAGTGTGAGAAATGACGGAGAAACAGACGAATTATTTATAAAAACAACATTTTGCTCTAGGAGCCAAGTGAGATGGCGCCTCTTCTCACTTTTAAAGTGCATGCGCCATCTCACTTGACTAAAAGAGAGAAGAGGCGCCAAGTGAGATGGCGCCTAGGGCAAAACCCTAGGTGGAGGCGTCAAGTGAGATGGCTCCTCCTTTGAGGAGTCATCTGAAACATGATTATTTGCGTAATTTTTTCCGAAACATAATTTTTTATAAAAAAAAATTTTAATACATGGTTATTCTAAAAAAAAAATCTAAATTATTACTATTATATAAAAATAAAAAACCTTCCACGCTGGCGCACAATCATTGATGTGTCATGACAAAAGAATAACTCGACACAAATAGTCATCCACTAACATTGCCCCTATGTTTTTTTCCGACGGAGTTATCAACGTGGCAACTTGTCAAAATCGAAGATCACAAAGCTTTGAAACCAACCACCGATTCCTCACCAACAAACAAAGCCGCATATTCCAATCACAACCTCTACCGTTCATTCCAAATGCAATGGCCCACAATCAAATTAGTACAATCTATTAACTATTAACTCCCCAACTTCACACTTACCGCGCCAGATCCTAATCCCACCACCACAACCACCATGGCTTCCATACCTCTCACCACCGCCACCACTTCAACCACCCTCCCATCCCTCCGCCTCCGTTCTTCTCCGCCACTTCGCCGACTCCAATTCAACAACACTTTCAAACCTCTCAAATCAGTTCATCACTCTTCCATTTCCTCCTTCTCACCCCTCCCACTCTCTAACCTCATCTCGAAACGCCACAGTCTCACTGTTAAGGCTTCATCAGCTTCCGTCACACCGGCTCCATCTCCAGCTCCGCCTCAGCCATGGCAAGGTGCCGCGATAAAACCTCTCTTAGCATCTATAGCAACCGGAGTTATACTCTGGTTCGTTCCCACTCCCGAAGGTGTATCCCGAAACGCGTGGCAATTACTCGCCATTTTCTTAGGAACTATCGTCGGGATCATCACACAGCCGTTACCTCTCGGTGCTGTTGCCATTTTGGGATTAGGAGTTTCGGTTCTCACCAAAACCCTACCCTTTGCTGCTGCATTCTCAGGTTTCGGTGATCCAATCCCATGGCTGATTTGTCTTGCATTCTTCTTCGCTAAGGGTTTTATCAAAACCGGACTAGGTAACCGTGTCGCTTATCAATTCGTTTCGCTTTTTGGTAGCTCTTCGTTAGGGTTAGGTTATAGTTTGGTTTTCAGTGAAGCTTTATTGGCACCGGCGATTCCTTCGGTTTCGGCTAGGGCGGGTGGAATTTTTCTTCCATTGGTTAAGTCTCTCTGTGTTGCTTGTGGGAGTAACGTTGGTGATGGGACGGAGAACAAGCTTGGGTCGTGGTTGATGCTTACTTGTTTTCAGACTTCTTGTATTTCGTCGGCCATGTTTTTGACTGCAATGGCGGCGAATCCGCTGTGTGCTACTCTTACTTTGAATTCTATTAACCAGACAATTGGGTGGTTGGATTGGGCTAAAGCTGCTATTGTGCCTGGTTTGGTGTCGTTGGTTTTGGTGCCGTTGATTTTGTATATTATATACCCTCCTACCATGAAATCTAGTCCGGATGCACCCAAGCTGGCTAGGGAAAGGTTGGCGAAAATGGGGCCAATGTCTGCCAATGAGAAAATCATGACTGCTACTCTATTTCTTACGGTAATCAGTTTACACGGTTTATAAATATAATATGATGTGTTATGGGATGAGTATAAATTTAAATAGGGTAGATAGCTTCACTATTTTGGAACTGTGTTCTAGGGTATTACTTTGGTATTTAGCAACTCTGTTATTTGCAATGGGGGTACTTGTTGATTTGATTTGAAACCGTGCTCAACTTTCATGACAAACGTTTGTAAAGTGGTGGACATTCTTCTTTACAAGTCGGTTTTGTAGGGTTGAGTAGCCAAATTCTAAGAAATGCTAATCTAAATGCATAGTTGGTCCTTGGGCCACTCACCCTAACCCGAACTTATGATGCCTTTTCTGTGTCATTTCCTTTTTAAACCTAATGTTAGAATGATTTTGTTTCTAAACTGTTTTATTGAGTTTTTTGTTCTCGTTGAGCATCCAATTGCAACGCTGGGCTGGTCATACAAGAGATGTTGTGGGTTTTTTTAGCTGAGTGAACTGTAAATAATTAGGCATTGGTTATGACTAATCACACCATCATTAAATCTGTTTGCTAAATTAGGGTGTACCTCCCCCTATTGATCTGAAAAACTAATCATTTAGTAGCAAGTTTTTAAATCATTGCCATGCTGGGATCCTTGATATTATGGAAAGTTGCTGAGGAGTATGGATGATGAATTTATAGAGCCATCAAAAACCTTGACTTTGCGATTTGCGAATTGTTTTTAAAGAACTTGTTTACTGTTCCCTTGCTGTAGACCTTATGTCTTGATTCAGGGAATACAGTGTGGTAAGTTAAATGCTTTAGAATCTTCTTTAGTTTGGTAACTTATTACCTCCCTCGCTTAATTTACCAGGTGGGACTTTGGGTTTTTGGAGGGCTTCTTAATATAGATGCTGTAACTGCTGCCATTCTTGGATTAGCTGTACTCCTCATAACAGGGGTTGTAACATGGAAAGAGTGCTTAGCTGAGGGTGTTGCCTGGGATACTCTCACGTGGTTTGCTGCCCTCATTGCAATGGCCGGGTATTTGAACAAATATGGTCTTATCTCTTGGTTCAGTCAAACCGTAGTCAAGGTATATTTCTTGTCTCATCTTTCTACCTCAAGTGGCTAATATTTATTTAATTTTACTTCATGCTGCTCCTGAGTCCTGCTGACAATTGATCTTCAGTTCTTTTGCTTTTCATCTGTTCTCTGGAGTTAACTTGTGAATGCATGGTTTTTTGTTTACTATATTGTACTAGTTGTTTGACCAAATCAACCACTGGAACATGTTTTGAAATATTCATAACCAAATAAGCTTTCAACCAATTTAACACACATGCCTCTAGTAAATAATTTTGATCAGCATGCCTCTACTGTGTTCTCTTGGAACACTCAACACACATCTTGGTTCATTTGGGGGTGCTTTGTTCCTACTTCTGAGTTGATCAGGGACTTCATATTCAAAGCATGTACTAAAATCAAAATTCCCTTCCTTTGGTATGTAGATGTGTTTTCTTAGTCCTATGAGTCCAATAATTGCCATTGGCCATTGAAGCAAAGCTATTTATTTAATTATAATAATAGGTTACATGCATACCATATATATTACCGATGAGCTGCATTATGCATCATGTTTTATGATGAAATTTCAACTTTAGAGTAATTAAAAATAATTATATAGAAATACCTTGATCATGTTAATGAAAGAGTTTGCTAATGATATTTCACAGTTTGTTGGTGGATTGGGTCTTTCATGGCAACTTTCTTTTGGTATACTGGTTCTCCTATACTTCTACTCCCATTACTTCTTTGCCAGTGGAGCTGCTCATATTGGTGCCATGTTTACTGCATTTTTGTCTGTTGCTACTGCTCTGGGGACTCCACCATTCTTCGGAGCCATGGTGCTGTCTTTCCTCTCCAACCTTATGGGCGGCCTTACTCATTATGGGATTGGGTCAGCTCCAGTGTTTTTCGGTGCCAACTATGTCCCACTTGCCAAATGGTGGGGTTACGGCTTTGTTATTAGTATTGTTAACATTATAATCTGGCTTGGACTCGGTTCTATTTGGTGGAAAGCCATTGGCTTGTGGTAAAGGGCCTGAAATAGAATTTTTGCCAATACAGTTTAAGATTTTTGCATACATCGATCCATGTACGCATTCTTGTTATTATCAGCAGTGAAGCAAATTGCTAATTTTAACCGACGCTTTCTAGAAATAATCTTCGGAAGGTTTTGTTGTAGATTTAGACGGGAGCCTGGATACCAATTATCGAGTTAGATCTTGGGTAGACCAGTTACATTATTATATATATGAGATGTCAACACATCAAATTATTCAGGATATATTGTCATGACTGATATGCTTCCAAGATTTTCTTTCCTTTAAATTTTCTGTACAAGTGCTATTTTCTTTTTTAATGGGATGGCAATAGTGTGTGTGATAAGTATCTGGAAATTTTACAGATACATGAAATCTAGAGTTCTATTTTCTATTTAGTTTTCATTTATAATAGACATAGATGCAAGTAATAAATAAATGAGACTCATTAGTGAGGTTCAATTATGTATCAGTTGTGTCTATCTCTATATTGTATTGACATTTGACACTAAACAGAAAGTAGAAAGTGAAACAAAGTCGAACTGATAGTAATTCTTTCGGGATGTTCTTGTTTCCAAGACCAAAGACTGTTTGCAGAAAAACTCAAGTAGCAATGCTGAGTATGCTATGATTTTAGTTACTTCTTGTTGGATGCAATTGTACGTAAAGGGGAAAAGGTTAATTGAGTACTTTGTGAGGTTTTTGCTTAATTAATAATTAGCATAAGGGATTAATATATTTTGTGGGGTCTAAGCTTGACTAATAAATTGTATGAGGGGTCGATGTTTTTAGTGAAATTCAACCCTAGCTAAGATTTCAACTTTTGGCATCCAGCTAACCTAATTTTATTAAATATATGGCTTAATTATAATTTTGATCTCTTTATCTTATTTATTTTAGGTCAAATTTTAAAATGTTTAAAAAAAAATTTTAAAATTAGAAAAACAAAAAGTTTAAGGCCAACCTTAGGATACTTGCACACTATCTCACCACTAAGTCGCCAGCGCTTATTTGTTATCTAGTGGGAGAATAAATATATATCAGTTAACGTCCTTCTCCAGCTTCATGAACTCATGGTGCAATTCAAACAAAACTTTTCTATTCCCCTGAACACAGAATAATAAGATAGAATGTTAAACTTGACTTTCTTTTTTTTTAAATCTTGTAGGATATTTTATTTGCTTTCTAACGAGTGATTCAGTCTGTAGAATAGATTGGTGGTCTGGGAGAATTTCTGTTTTGAAGGCACAATGGTCATGACTAGGTTTTTTATGATCTTATTAAGGTTTTTCTCTAATTCAAGGGAAAGCATTTATCAGGAATTTTATCGACCTGAGCCACTTGTGAATTGTGATACTCCTTCCCTCTATTCGTTTTTAAGTGTTATTTTTGAAATGTAGCCTTAGCGAAAACACATTGCATAAAGAGGTGTGATGATGTTTCAGGCGCAGCGTTATAGAAGGGACACAAGGGATCGAGGTTCACACCTTTGGCTTGAAGCTTGTCTTTGGTAATTTTTTATGAGAGGTGTGCGACGGACCTGGTTTCTTAGCATTCTTTATCCGTCGAAGAAGGTAATAATCTAATCTTACAGAATACTCACCGCTCTTTTCATGGTGCCAAATTAATTTATCCTCTGGAAGTCTCATCGAGAGAGGAATGTTCAGAATTTGTTTAGCCTCTGGAGGGGAAAAAACAACCTTGAATCTAGGATTCTCTGGCAGCCAGTTATCATCCCATATCCTCACACTCTCGCCATTTCCAATTCTCCATCGAATGCCTCGGTTCACGACATCTCTAGTGTTAAGTGAAGGTGTGGAAAACACAAGAAAATGAGATTTGAATTGAATTAAAAAAAAAAAAAATTATTCTTTTAAAGATATTCTCCTTTAAGTTAAAATGTTTTTTCCCTCACTCTTGATAATTACAATTTGCACAAGCTACCCGCAAGTGACTAACAACCTCTAGACTCGCAAGCTCTAAACTTCTTAAGGATTCAGACCTACCCGATCCCTTAAGGAATATCAACTAATAATCAACTTGATTATTACAATGCACAAGCTACCCGCAAGTAACTAACAGCTTCTAAAACTCACAAGCTCTAGACTTCTTAAGGATTCAGACCTACCCGACCCCTTAAGGAATATCAAACAACAGTTTGAATACAAGTTTTGTTTACAAGAGTATTGCTTCTAAAAAGTTGAGTATGTAAACTATTTTTATGAACAATGACTTAGAATGTGAAAGCAATAAACGGCGTTTGCGCGTGAAATATTCAGTAATTCGCCAACTTTCTTTCTTGGCCTTCAAGCCTTTATATAGCCATTAACACAATGTATCCATTGAGGGATACTCTTGGAATTTCCAAAAACATTGACAACTTGAACAATAACGTGGGGGACAAGATCGTGCGACGCGTCCGTCTTTTTATGATAGTGGAATGAAATGTTAATTGTACCATGTATTATTTGTACCACGTTAACGTTATCTTCTTTCCTTCTGCACTCCAGAGGCTTCTGCGAGTATGAGTTTAGAAGCGAGAACATAACATCAGGTCATCAGAACTTCAAGTCTTTAGAGTCTTCAAAACCGCGTCTTTAGAGTCTTCAGCACTTAGTTATGAGAATATTTTCTTCGAACCTTGGGTCTTAGAACTCCAAATCTTTAGAATCTTTAGACCTTCTGTCTTTTAGAGTCTTCATCACTTGGTCTTCAGAACCCTTATCTTTAGAACTTCATAAATAGAAACACAAGTTTTCAGCATCTAGACTTCAGTAGAAACTTTGTCTTAAGATCTTCTAACTTTGTTTCTTGAATCACGTTGTCTTTTAAAATGTGAGTCTTCAGCATCTGGACATAAGTAACAACTTTTGTCTCCAGATCTTTTGACTGGTTTCCTTAGAATATGCTGTCTTTAGAAGCTTGAGTCTTCAGCATCTGGACATAAGTAACAACTTCTGTCTTCAGATCTTTTGATTGGTTTCTTCAGACAAATATCAGAGTTTACACTTCAGAGTCTTCTGGAGTGTCTTGCTACTATTCAACAGAACTTGTGTAACATAGAAGCAAAATCGTTTCTCTTCTAATGTCTTAGTCACGCCATCCATCAAAAGCAGAACTTGTTTGTTAAGTACTCAACAATAACAAACATTAGTATAACAAAAATTGTTCATACAATCATACTCATTTGTTATCATCAAAACTCATAGATGATATTGCAGAACCAAATCTTGTTCTTACAATCTCCCCATTTTTGATGATGACAAAACTATGTATTTTGATGACACAATTTTGTACATATAATCATAATCATTGAAATTTAGAAGGTAAGAAATACTTATCCTTTTTCTGATACTTCCCCTGAGTCAATGACTTGATGAAGATCGGATATCCTAACTCTGAACAATTAGAGTAAGAACTCCCCCTGGTTCCAATAGATCAGATATCGAGATATTGAAAGTCTTGACTTTGGATTCCAATAGATAAATTGAGATCTTGATTTCACACAATTTCTTTATCAAATCTTTGAACTTTAATGTGACTTAGACATTTTTCAGATTCTCAATAAATTCTCAATTTTAGAGTCTGATTCCAGGTTTCGCTTCTTGAATTATGAATGAAGAACATCTTCAAAGTCTGAAGCCAATAGGTTAGGCATAAGCTTTGAATAGTGCTTTCAGATCTATGTCTTTTAATCAGAGTTCTAATTTCCTGAAATAGAAAAACAATTTTATAAGTTTTTGTTGGCAGCAATTTTGGTAAAATAACGTGTTGGTAATATTTTGCTTAATGTCTTGACATTTGAAGTAAATCATCTCAACTAATTTTGAATGACGTCAAAGCAGGTGTCTAAACATCTACCTTCTGATCTGAACGTTTTTTTTTTCCAGATTTTCTGTTTCCTATTTTTAAGCGCGCCTTATTAAGGTTTTGTGGTTTATAAGTTGCAAAAAATATGGAGGAATATTTTTCGATCTGTCTTATCTTTATGGATTATATCTTGGCCTACTTTCATGGAGATATTCAAGGGATTTAATATATTGCAATATTTTTTTTTCCAGCCCAAGCCCATAAAGAAGTTGTTGCGCCTTTATAAGGACTTGCAACCTTATTCGTACAAATGCAACAATTGAAGAAAATTATATTCTTTGTGTTTAAAAGTCTGAATCTGTTAATTGTAATACACTCTAGTATTGTTTCAATATTTGAGTTGTAATTTGTTAGTTGATTTGTAAATTATAGATCATTCATAAGCTTTTAAGTATTGAATGATTGAAGTTTTTCAAACTTAATAATTCTGTTGTTTTTCACTATTAGTGATTGAAGGGATTTGAGAGGATCTCATACCTAGGTGTGTCTTAGGTAGAAGTATAACACATGTAGTGATTAATTGATTAGATCGTAAATTGGTTGTTTACTGAGGGTCTATGAATTGATACTATTTAGTGGACTTATCCCTGGCTTGGTAGCCCCCAGAGTAGGTGTTGTTGTACACCGAACTGGGTTAACAATCCCTTGTGTTTTTACTGCTTTTATATTGTTGTAGTTATTATCCTCAGATATTTGTGTCGTGACATCTCCTTCGACATCACATATATGATACTAAAATTTCAATTGGTATCAGAGCAGGAATCCTGCTATGTATCTGGGTGAGATCTAAGGAAGATACTTTTTGGTACTATGGACAAGGAAGGAAGGTTTGTGAACAGACCACCCATTCTGGATGGAAGCAATTGTGACTATTGAAAACCACGTATGATGGAATTTCTAAAATCTCTGGACAACAAGACTTGGAAAGCTATCTTAAAAGGATGGAAATACCCTGTCAAATTGGGAGAAGATGGAGAACCTACTTCTGGGTTAAAGCCATACGAAGATTGGTCTAAAGAAGAGGATGAAATTTCACTTGGAAATTCTAAAGCCTTGAATTCTATATTTAATGGAATTAACAAGAATATTTTCAGATTAGTGAATACATGTGAAGTAGCTAAGGA